GCTGCCTTTTTTTTGTGCCGAACATTTCCCTGTATTCGGGACCTTTTAGTATGGGGCGAAAGGTCGAGCCGCTGCTCCAGCGAAGTGGCTGATCCGTGCTCTGCGGATCCGCAATCTGCGTCTGAATTTTGCGATAATTTTGCGGATCTCCGGATCACCCATACTGCTCTGCTATTTGTCCTTGCGTACCGCCTTCCTCGGCTTTTTTAAATTGCCGCTCAAAAGAGGGAAATCTGTCCCCACCAGCACGAGACAGAAGTTTTCTTCTCGCTGCGCGGTGAACTGATTAAAGATAGAGCGGGGGGGGGGGGGGTAACTTTCTCTCTTGGGGGGGGAAAAAAAGAAAAAATATCAGGGGTTGTATTCTTCACATTTTAGAATACTTCTAGTACGAAGATCTCTTTGAAACTTTCAGTATTTCTCCAAAAACAATTGTGGCAGACTGCTATGTAAAGCGTACGAATCGGATTAACGAGTAAATTTCCTCTTTGGAAAGTGGTGGCACAGAGTTCCCCATGTCGTATGGATACGATACTAAAACACGATGTGCGGATAGGGTTAAGTAGTGGCACAGAGTTCCCCACGTCGTATGGATACGATACCAAAACACGACCTGCGGATAGGGTTAAGTGGTGGCACAGAGTTCCCCACGTCGTATGGATACGATAGTTAAACACGACGTACGGATAGGGTTACGTGGTGGCACAGAGTTCCCCACGTCGTATGGATACGATAGTAAAACACGACGTACGGATAGGGTTAAGTGGTGGCATAGAGTTCCCTACGTCGTATGGATACGATACTAAAACACGACGTACGGATAGGGTTAAGTGGTGGCACAGAGTTCCCCACGTCGTATGGATACGATACTAAAACACGACGTGCGGATAGGGTTAAGTGGTGGCACAGAGTTCCCCACGTCGTATGGATACGATACTAAAACACGACGTACGGATAGGGTTACGTGGTGGCACAGAGTTCCCCACGTCGTATGGATACGATTGTAAAACACGACGTTCGGATAGGGTTGATAAATAAATTAAATACAAATTTAGCGACAGACAGACAAGACGGACGAGACAAGAGACACACTGTGAAGGAAAGAAAACCACCCAGGAAAGACGAGCTTGAGCGACCTGATTGGTGAAATCTATCTCTGCAAACTTGTCCAAAAAGTTGTTTACTTGGTATGGTCTGCAACGCGCAGATCTCTTTCTCCGTCTCTTCTCTCTCTCTCTCTCTCTCTCTCTCTCTCTCTCTCTCTCTCTCTCTCTCTCTCTCTCTCTCTCTCTCTCTCTCTCTCTCTCTCTCTCTCTTCTCTCTCTCCACATTTTGTCTCTCTTTCTCTCTCTTCTCTCTCTCTCACACACACACACACTCTCTCTCTCACACTCTCTCTCTCTCTCTCTCTCTCTCTCTCTCTCTCTCTCTCTCTCTCTCTCTCTCTCTCTCTCTCTCTCTCTCCCCCGCCAGCTCAGGTTCGCCCGGGTTGTCAGGTCACCCTGACCCGCCATGTTGACCTTGTTCTCTGTCCCAATTTGTTAGACCACATTATGTAGGAAGTGGCTACCGCTGTCCCACAGACACAGGTTGTCTTTTGTAGATAACATATTACATTATGTGGGTATGAGTGTATGTATTTGAGTGTGTGCGTATGGCGTATGCGTGTGTACGTGTGTTTAGTTACATGTTTAAAACTATCTGTATATTGCAAAACTCAGATAGTATCGTTGATTTGCTTTTACACACGCTGAGGATACTATGGTTATTAATGTAGTATGTTCCTATTTCCCATTCACCACAACAGGATAAAGCACGAGAGAAAATTAATAAGAAATTTTAAAAAGAAATTAGATACCTCTCCCTCGTAGTACTCTTATAATTTTTTCTACTCTTTTTATTCAGATATCAGTGGAAGAATTTGCAGTCAGATGTTCGGGTGCACTTATTTCTTTCTTGCTTTTTTCTGTTGAGTCTCCTCATTGACCAGGACAAATAACGTCCATCTTTATCTAT